CTGACAATTCATAGTGTCATTTTCATCCATTACTGAGGCAAAACAAACCGTCCCAGGCTGGTTGCTAGCTTTACATTTTTATAATATTTCTTATAAAATTTCAGTCTTTTTGAAAAATTTTTCTTACTTCCCATATTGGGGGAGGAAGTGATATTAAAACATCAATCTCATTCTTTGCTTTCCTGATGATATTTTAATTTAGTTTTTCAAGTTTTGTTAGAAGGTGGTGTCTCATGGTTGGTCTGGGTCCATCTAATGATTACTTGACTACTATGGTTTTGCTATTGTTGAAATTGTATGTGCTTTATCTTACAGCCAGAGACCAGAACACAGCCCATATTTCTGCATGTTATGTTAATTTTCCTCTACATTTCAGGTAATTTTTAAGTGTACCAAATTTATTGTGCTTTTTAAAAAAATAGTAAAAAGGACAATGCAAATACATATAAGGTCTGTAGCCTCCTGTTAATATTAATATCTGAGGTATTTCACTTGTGGAAACCTCCATTCATTTAAGCCAAGTTCTGCTACAAAACTTCTGGCAAAAAGGAAAAAAAAAAGGAACCAGATTAGGCAGATTAGTCCAGTCACACATGTTTGTGGCTGTGTGTGCCACAAGTAGTGAGCAATCAATGCTTGTACCCAGGTCTGTTCAGCTTAGGGACAAGATGGTATGGGATAATATGATCCAATTGTATTTCTTCAATATCAATACAATACTGGTGAGTTTTTCAGTTATGACAGGATTTTTAAAAGTCTTAAGTGCTACAATGCACCTTCCTTTTATCTAATGCTCATCATTGTAATGCAGGATTCTTCAATCTTCACGACACAAAGGCTCTTTGCTCCCTCAGAATTCATTTCAGAGGAAGCCATTAGATCTCACAGTTGCAGTTTAATGCAGGGATTTTAGGTCATCTCAGAACTTACCCTTTTCCAAGAACAGTTTTAATCTTTGTTCAGTACTTGAATATACTTTTATAATTATGCTTCAAGTGTTATTGCAGCTATATTTCAGATTTTACGTATGTAGGAAAATGCTACATTATTTTAATACTGACGGTAGAGTAAAAATCTATTCAATATTCACCTTTCAGGAAGCACAATCAAATATCCAAGAACACTATTAGACTTGCCTAGCATAAAGTTTCAAACTGCTAATGGATTTTAAATTGATGTCATAATGCTGCAATTTAAATACATGATGTTCATTAATTTTGCCAGAACTCTTTGTAGAGTAGGAGTGGTATGAAGGAAGGAGGAAGGTTATATTTTCTCTGCTTCTTTTTATCTGCTTCCCCATTTTTGATATACAAAAAGAGTCATTACATCAGCTTGATGTGGGTGGGGGGTGAAGTTTATTCCAGTAGGTTTCAATTGGGTAACCACTGTGGAGTTGTATCAAATTAATATTTTCTATTAAAAAAAATCACCAGGAATAGGATAAAAACAACTAACACATGATAGGCATGACATTTCCTAAAGACAGATTTCATGGGACCTCCCACCAAAAATCGAGAGGCACAAAGTGGAGGAAATAAGGGAAAGAAAGGTCATCTTGTTCATACACCTCCTTGCCATGAAAGGTCAACATTCATGTACTGAGCGAGACAGCAATATTGCAAAACAGGCAGCACAGCTTCCCACAAATCTCAAGGAGTCACCTCGGATGTGGATATTGAAAAGGGAAAAGAGATCACATCATGGAAGGCTTCTACAAGATCTTCTCCTGCTGAGGGGAGTGAGGGTGGGCTCTGGATTTTCTAGGTGAAGAATCCCCTATTTCAGAAATATCTCCAAAGTGAAACTATAATGTGTCTAGACATAGTGGCCCAGTATATACAACACTTCACATCTATTTGTATTTCAAATCTAATATATTTACTGTACATAAAAGACAGTTTTCCCAAAGCTGTTGCTATGGCTACAAATCAAGGAAACCATAGCAACAACCCTGTATTATGTACAGCCTTAATTGTGGATTAAGTTATGTGTCTCTTTACATTTTATATTAAATACTCCAATACATCTAGTTTTAATATTTTTCAGACTTTTTAGTAATACAAATTCCACAATACTACAGTGTCAAGTCAAATACACAACCCCCTTGAAAAATGTCTTTACAGCATTATTCTGATCATACCTAATAACAGCCACATCATTGTTTTTTACTTGAGATAAACACTAATGTTCACATCATCGTATTTCCTGATCTTTCTTAATACATATGATTAATCACTACCATTTTAACCAATTGATTTTCCATCATCTCTTAAGCTTTTTCAAGTCTCATCCCACTCAGTCCTATCCCCCCAAAAAACCAGCTCCTCCTAACTTAAATTTTTATTACTATGGAAAAGTTTGAGGGGTTGGGCCTTTTTTAGTTTGGTTTGATTTTCCTTTTTCTTCAGAAAGTAAGTATGCAATAGAGAGACAGGAAAGGCAGAGAAGTAATTCATTCTAGATTTTCTAGCTTCCTGTCACTTCAGATGACTGACTGGGTTGGTGGCAAAATATCCTAATTCCTCTGGCTTGTTGACCTTGCACTTTTAAGTACCCTAGGGAGTTGGCATGCAGCCAGACCTTGGAGTGCAGCCTGAGAGGAACAGGTAAAGGAGAACACAGAACAAATGTGGAGAAAAGAAGAAGGATGTTAGAAGTGGCTGAGGAACAGGAGGGAGAGCTATCAGACAGCAGGAGACACCAGTGGGTGGCAGGATTCAAAAGACACTCTAGGAGAATATGAGCACATTCAACAAAGAATTCATTCAAAGAATTCTGCAAAAATATTCCCCAATATAAGAGAAGAGAAAAAGCCAAAATTCACATCTCTAAAAGCCTTCCCTCCGATCTTCCCTTCCATCAGTTTATTTTCTGACAATTCATTGTGGTACTGTTTCCTCACATCATTTGGTCCTTGACGAGACACCATGTGTCCCATTTTGCAAAAAACTTGGCCACATCTCTTTGGGGCTTTAGCCTGTCTCACAGCGTAGACTTTTCTGCTTATCTTACATAACATAGCAGCACAAAAAAACTAGAAAATATCTAAATTTTATGAAATGAGCAGAAATTCAATGTATTTGACACAATAAAGAAACTAATAATTGAGATTCTTTATGGCTATATTAATACAAATAGTATAGACAAATGCTTATCTGACAAAGGAATATGTGTTTTAAAAATCATAGGCTGAGAAAGCTATGAGCGTGAGTTAGGAACATGAGATATGTGAAAGCTTTTCACATGAGCATCACAACAAAAGTTCCCTCAGACAGGGAATAATTAAGTCAAAAGTTAGTGCATTTACAATAAGCAAGCCATGTTCAGGTTCTTCATTATCATTTTAATTAGCAAATATTAATGTAATCTGCAAATACAACAGGGAAAACAACTAAAATTTACTAAGTTTAAGGAGTCCTTCACAACCCATGCCAAATTGAGACAAATGGTTTACAACTCGATACCGGTCACCAGCTTTCAGGACATTCATTTCCATTTACTGTAAGAACTTCCAAGCATGTTATCAAATTTAAGAATGAATTAAGGCCCTCACAAACTACTTCTAACCTCTGATGAAGGCAATGGTGAATAAAAATGGATTAGCATGCTCCTCTCCTCTGCAGTTATCAGTTCAGGCTGATAGTGATCAAGTGACCATGGCACCTCTGCCTCATTCAGATTCCACGCCTGCCGCAACGGCAACAACCCCGGGACATGCAGAACACGCTGCCCTCCCATTTCTGAGGGATGAAGTTGCTGGATGAAGCCTTAACCCCTCTGAGCTCAACAGCACCTCCCATTCCTTTCACTGGGACTACGATTCACAGCTGAACAGTTCACTTTTCAGGTGCTTGTCTATTTTCTGTAAAACAGATAATGTACTTTGGCCTCCAAAATAGGGCTGCATCTTACAGGAACAATGATTAAAAGCTATATATGTTTAAAAGGAGCTGCCTCCTGAAAACTGCCTCTCTCTCATTCTGAGTTTTACATTTAACTCACTAAAGGTAGGATAATAACTAACTAGTCCAACAGACTTACAGGACTAAATATAATGAAGTGGTGAAGTTTTCATTCTCTATAAAGCTGTTATGTGAATGAATTTCACTCATTAATAACTGTCATTTTATACCAAAAAAAACCCCTATCAGTTAATGGAAGTCTGATAGCATTTCTCATGACTGACAGTGCTATAACTGATCGCAAACTATAGAAAGAGTTCAATTTTGATGTTACCTTACTTTGAAAGACTCCATTTTACAAATATTACAAAGAGAGAGGAAAAGTCTGAAGAAAATGCACCACCACCACCAAAGAGTGGTGCTAGAAATTTTGACAACTAAGACACTTTAAAGCAAGAGTCCCTGTAAAACCTAATTTCATCAGACAAGTATTTTTATCATACAGCAAGTATTTTGCAAAGCAGATACACATCAGTGAGTTTTGAAGTACAGAATGCAAATACATACCTAGTTTTGAAACAGCTATCAAGTATTAATGCAATACTTCCAGAAAAATCCAGTAAACCTCTAGCTTTATACATTCACTAGACTCACATATGCTCATTTCACATATCACTCCCTTTTCCTCTTTCATGCCCATACAAACAAAAATAAGCTACTTCTTCTATGGGAAGCCCAAGCAAAATGAAACATTTTTAGGACCTTATTACAACAAACACAAGAAAATTCCCTTTTGCATTAGAGGGATTGAAGGATTGAAATTAAGCTGAAAGATTTTCTTGTTTGTATAAACAAGTTTTCACTCAATAAAGGATGATTTTGAGGTCAGTTCACTGCTCTCTCCACTGCAGACATGACAGAAATTTTAAAAATTTCAAAGCTCATTTAAGTGGTAGCAGACTTCTAAAATAGCCACTTTGCTCAGAAACACCCTTGTTCAGTTTTTACACTGGGCAAGTTGCAAAAAAGCATTAGGTGGGATTGGAGAAAAAGAAATCTGCTGCATTTGGCCAGGCTCCTAGAACCAGGTCTTACCTCTTGTGTTTTTACATTTATATATCCATAATGAGTTTTCAGAGGCTGCCTTTGGCCATTAGAAAATGGGATCCACTTGACTCTGGTTTGTCCAAAGCAGTTTAGGATCAAAGGGAAAGTTACTTCATTTGTGAGACGAACGATGATCAGACAGAGGAATGCTGCAATGAAACTCACGGCAACAACGGACTTTCTCTGTAATGAGAAGAAAAAAGGAAATAAATTATTGAAACTGGGAGTCAGTTTTAATAAAAAAATACACATCTTCAATTGGAGGATGAAGGAAAAACACTTGAGAAAGCTTTATGTGAAATTATTCCTCTGGTAGTCACCTTGCTGCAGGAACACAAGGAGACAGGTGACTGGATTGTTTTATTTCAATAAATTTGCATTTCAGAGGTTTGCAGAGTTTCTTTTAGAACTGGTTGCAAATGAGTCAGTTTTGCTCACCAAAAAAAAAAACAAAAAAAAAAAAAAACAAAACAAAAAAAAAAAGTGCTTTTTTTAAGGTTCAAAACACATCTATTAACTTTAAATTTTATTTGCATTTGGAACAAAGATTTTATGTAAACATCCCCACCAAAGTCTTCACTCAAAATCATCAGTTTTCTAGGGATGACAACACACAAAAGAAAAATGCCACCTGCAGTGACACCACACTAAGTTTTCTGAAAAGCTTACCATCAATACAGATAATACCACGCAACAGAATTTGTGTTATAACTTCAAATACTTTAGAGTATTTATGTGGTGATGTCAGCACCACATTCTGCCTTATTCCAGGTTCATGAATTAACCAAGTAAGGCACTATTATTTCGGACAAGATGATTTCCATTGTTAATAATCCAACCAATCTGAAGCTTGGAATTTGTCCTCCCCTTCCACCTCTAGCCCATCCAGTCAGTTGGACTGGAGAATGGAATCACAGAAAGATCACAACTTTTTCCCTGGGTAACTCCTCAGTCTGCAGGTGAAAAATCTGTGAGAAAGTAGGATGCTCTCCTTATTTTTAGCTATTTTTGTAAATACTGCATTCAATTACTTCTAGACAAATTACTAAAGGACAAAAATGTCAGTTGGCATGTGCAAAGATTCTAGATATGATACTCTATCGAAAAGATTATTTTCACATTTTCCCCATGGGAATGAAACAATTATCATTTACACGTGTTTTTATCATACTTTAATTACATTCTAGGTTTACCTAATTTGCCACAGTTTAATTACTCTACTGAAGGTAATTCTATCATTGCAAACAGTAACATTTACAGGAAATACAGGGGAAAAAAAATCATTTGCCTAAGGGCCTATACATAAGTGTATGATAACACTTAATGCTGGATGACAGAATCTGATCACCCCAATTCCCATCTACCAGCTAATTCCCAACTAACCAGCACAGAACACATTTAACACCACTTATTTTACATGATGGCAATAAGATCACTTGTGATGCCATGGTAAAGACAAGCTCTCCTTGCAACCAGATAAGATTAATCTGTCCTAGCATAACAGTGAGAATCACAATGAGCCCCCAGCAAATTGGAAGGGATGTTATGACATTCCCACAAACAAGAGTTAACAAAATAATCCAAGGCAGGGGTCAATTGCATGGCTCTGTGTTCTGATGTACTGGGAGGTTACAATTTATAAGATAAAAGCAATGAGACTGGGCTGGAAAAACTTGGGTGAAGGAGGTCACTGTGAGGAGAAAGGCAAGAGGAGGATGAAGAAGTATTGTGGCAGTGTGATTCAGTGAGGAACCTCAGGCAGCTAATGGCTGTGCAATGTAAAATTAAACCCAGCAAATCTTCAGAGGGCAGCGCAGCAGCCACAACCCAATCGCAGCACTCAGAATTCATGGAAGCCACTGCACTTTTCATCATCTGCATTATAACAGATTTACATTAAATTGCAATAAAATGGCTGGGGAGCACTTCTGTGTCACTTCTCTTTGTAGCAGATGGAGTCAGAAACATTTAGCTATATATCAGAGCCTTGTAAGTGCTAAGAGCAGCCAAGATGTGCAGTGCAAGTGATAATCATAAAGCAATGAGAGGAGCATGGATTAGTCATATTATTTATTGCAAATCAGAACTAAAATATTGCAAATATTTAAAGGGGAATCTAGACTCTCATTCCACTACATGAGCATGTTTCAATCAAAACATCCACAGCAGGAAGCAAGATTGCTTGTATGATGCTACTACCTGATTTCTACATTCCCTATCTTCCTGGTTTACTGAACCTTTTACTTCCTTTATTTTGTGCAGATCTGTTCTGAACTTGAAAACAGTGCAATCAGCTTTATGTGCTTCTCACAGAGAGTTGTTCTAAACAGCCTATGCCCTGAGAAAAATTCAGATTGTGTAGCTAAATTTCTTGGCCTTCTCTAAAAAGCCACCTGATTTTTATACTTTTCTTTAAATGCACTGTACTAGCAGGTAAAAGAAAAATTGTGGCCCGTTGGTTTTTTATGTAAGAAAATATTGTTTGAAAAGGAAAACAGCAAAGATTTTTCTCTGTGTGTTTTTTGCACTAACAAGAGCATTCAAATGAGAGAAAGGAGTTTTTACAGCAGAACAGAATTAAGGCATCTGTTGAAATTGTTTTGGAAAAAAAAAAATCTAGCCATATGCAAACACAATGTTTACTTATCAACTTGTACAAAGGACGTTGGTATTAAGTATTCAGTTCCCCTGCAATTTTTGTTGAAGGCATGAGATCCAACAACAGGCAATCTCTGTGGGAAAGACTATTGCAAATTGGCATTTCAGTGGCTCCACAAATTTCACTGTAAAAATGCTTTAAAACACCAAAGCACATACTTTTTATAGTTTCAGCCTTCTTAAAGCACCAAGTAAAGAAGTCTGATCAGTGGCCACGAGTATTTGACAGGGCACTTCTACAAGTAATTTGACTCCATTAAGTCCCTATGTTCTTTACCTGCTCATTAAAAGAACAAACAAAATAACCAAACTCAGGTGCTATTTGTCATTAACTGCTTCTTGTAAAATCTCCTTCCTTTACCACAGATAAATGGATTTTGTTATTGGTCCTCTGATAAAACTTAATATTTAGCATTTGAGAATCCAGAAATTCTACATGTCATTAGGATATGACAGAGGAGTCTGAAGCTACATACAGGGATGAATACCAAATTGTAATTTGTCTCAAAATTTGACTGCATCAACATTTTAAATACTCACACATCCTACCATTTGGGAGACTTTAACCAACACTAATTAGTAAGTCTGCAGAGAAACAAATCTTATTCCTTCTTAATTTTCAGTTCTCATGAATGCAAACTGTCTCTTAACAAAAGAAATGTTTCTCTAACATGGACATATCCTGTGCATAAATCTCAATCTTTTTTTTTTTTACATAAGAAATGTATATTCAGTTATAAACATCTTTTAAATGTATCCCATTTTTCACATACTCAGTGAGGGGTACACAGTAAGACATACGTTAAAGAGTTTCTTACCTGGATGATTTGCATGGTATATATTAGTTTTGTTACATTTTATTTCAGTCACTACAGTACCTGACTAGCCTAGATGGCAGTGGCAAGAACAAAATTACCCTTCTCATGAATACAGGATCCTTCAGCAGAAGAATGAAGGAGTTTACCTTTAGTCAATGAGACTAAGTCTACAAGCTCATTCTCAGTTTAAAAAAAAAAAAAATAAAATTAAAAAAAAAAAAAAAAAGGGGTATAGAAGAGGGAAAAGTTGAGATCAGAGTACATGAACTGCAATACCTGAAACCCCACTGGGCCAAAAGCACTCACTAGGACTAAACAGTTTCTTCTAATTCTTTTTACTCCATCCCCACAACAGCACCATCCCACTTCTGGTGTCAGTTATTTCTCAGACACCAAGCTCATTCTGTCTAGTATGTATATCAAAATCAGTAACTAGCAGGCATGAATCACATTCAATTTATATCTAGGTTGTTAAAGTAAGAATTGAAATAAAACCAGGAGTGTCATACTACTCTGCTGGATAGAATTTAATTAAAAACTTCATAACTACTTTCAGGGGTATAAATATTTGGCAACATGGTCCCTAGCACTATTTATACGCTTCATATAATCGAGTTTTGGCTAATTACCAGTGCTAGGGTGATTCATTAGTTTCAGTTTGGCAGGAACTTGACAGTCTGAAGAAGTTTTAGTCATTTTTCTTTCATAATCTGTTAAGAAGTGTGAGATGACAAGATCATTTTTTAATAGTTCAATAATGCCTGACAGAACAGTAAGACACATTTTTTTGTATTGTATACAGTTCTCTAGGAGGGAGGGAGGAAGGAAATATTTTCAGCATAGGAAGATAATTTCTTAAGTTGTAAATTTTGCTGAGATCAGTACTAAGTATCTTTATTCTACTTTTTAACCAGAGCACAGCAGCCTGCCACTTGGCATGTATTATATGGCAGAGACTATCAAACCACTTCACAAGCAGGAATAAATCTCCATCCTAGTGAGTTTCACAGTAAAAACCCATTTCACAGGTGCATAAACTGAGGCTGAAATCAACTTTCCTAAGATCACAAAGAACTCAACAGAAGATTTTTACTCAACAGAAGATCTTTACTCAACTCCTAAACTTTCATTCTAGAACTATTTTGTTTTTCAGGCTTACTGTTTCTATCACAAGTAACTGCCTGAATTTGTTAAAAGACAAGGTTGAACGTGATATTATGGAAGATTCCAGTAAAGAACCCTGGGAACCATGCCCCAAACAGTAATTGCAAATAAGCTTTTTTTCATAAATTGATTTTCTCCAGTAGTCATGCTTTCTTTTATTTTTTAGATACATGGCAGCACCAAGCTTGGAAGGACAAATGAAAGGTAAAGAATTATGTGAGGGCTTTGGGCCTCTTAGAAGACACAATATTCAGTAATATTGTATTATTTTCACAATACCTGCCTTTACAGGCACAGTGAGTAACTCAATCACTTTTTTAATATCTCTGCACATCATACTACTTTCATTATAGGACTGATCCAGGGTATCAGTTTTTACTCAAGTATAATACCAATTGAAAACAATAATGGCTACACCAACTGAATTTGTTTCAATTTGTAGACCACTATATGTAAAAAATCCTTTTATTTAATTTTTTCTTTTATAGTCTTGAGCATCCCATTTAAAAGCTACTTTCTATTACAACAGAGCATTAAATGAAA